ATGAGCTGTTAAAATAAGGCCACATTTTTCTGCTCTGATGGATGTAAAAAATCCAGTGGGCCTATTTTGAAGCAGGGAAACTATCTTCATTGTCCTGACCAATACTGTATATATTTCTCAATCAGAATCACAAACCTGTTTTCAGGCTATTATATTGAGTGGTACAGTGGCTTAGTGGTTAGTACTGCTGCCTCTCAGCACCAGGGACGGGGGTTCAATTCCAACCTTGGACAACTGTCTGTGTGAAGTTTGCATGTTCTTCCGTGTCTGCGTGGGTTTCTGCCACGTGCTCCAGTTTCCTCCCACAGTCCAAAGATGTGTAGGTTAGGTGGATTGGCCATGCTAAATTGCCTGTAGTGCCCAGGAATGTGTAGGTTAACTGGATTAGCCATGGGAAATGCAGGGTTACAGGGATAGGGTAAGGAGATGGGTGTGGTTGGGATGCTCTTCAGAAGGTCGGTGTAGACTTGTTGGGCTGAATGGCCTGATTCCACACTGTAGGGATTCTGTGATGTTGGGCTTATGGGAGTTTGCATGGAACTTTCATTTCCTATAACAATGTTCACACTTCAAAAGTAATTAATTGACGATAAAGTGCTTTGAGATATCTGGTATGGAGAAAATTGCAATATAAAAAAAGACTTGCATTTAATAGTTTCTAAGAAACAAAAAGAAGGATTTCAATCTTCTTACAATTCAAGAGTTGCTATTTTAGCCTGGGTCTTTGAGAGGGTTATCGTTGTAGTTTTGTGGTTGAGTAATTGCTGAAGAAGATTGAGAGTATCAGTCAATGTGGTTTCCAGATAAATGAGCTTTCATTTACGAGTTAAGAGCAATAGATCAGGTTTTGTGTATCTTTTGACGCTAAGCATTTCCATCATAGAATGGAGCTTTTTTTCAAGTTTGTCCTCAAGTTGGTTCTTGAAGATATGATGCAGTTATGTGCACAGCAAAATGAAGCTTAGCAATGCTATTGATGCCAGCCTCTGGAAGGAACTGAATGTTTTCCTAGTTGCACCTGTTTAAAAACAGCAGTTCCAAGTGTCTTTGCTGAGGTAGTGTAGTGTCACTGGACTAGTAATCCCAAACTCTCCACTAATTTTCTGGGAGTTTGGGTTTGAACCCCCGATGGCAGATGATGACATTTGAATTCAATAAAAATAATCTGGAATTAAAAGTCAAATAATGACTGTGAAACTATTTTCAATTGTCTTAAAAATATTTCTGGTTCACTAATGTCCTTTTAAGAAAAGAACTCCAGGCCGACCACAATGTGGTTGACTCTCAACTGTTCTCTGGGCAACTAAGGATAGGCAACAAATGCTGATCTAGCCGGCATTGCATGAATGAATTAAAAGAAAAATCAACCTCATATTTGAGACCTTCCACCTTTGTCCACCTGGAGTTATAGCCTGAACTTTCTATTGATTAGAAGTAACTTCTAGCAATGTAAGGCTGGCACTAAAGACCAGGCCAGTTTCGTAGTATGTTATCTGCCTAAACTTGCAATTACCCTTTTGTTTGTTGGTAAGAGTCACTTGTAAGAGTGTACTGAACTGTTGAGTTGTTTAGTACTTTGTTAGTGCCTGCCTTTACACAAGTGTACATCCAGTGGTTTTGTTGTGCTATGTTAATGTTCAAGGTAAGTGGAAGTAGAGTTTGAGTGGATGTTTCTGTCCTTGCCAAAATCTTGGCACACAAGAGTCTAAAGTGGTGAAAGGGCTTGGTGAAATGCCTCACCCTCATCCCTTTCTTTGAGTGAACAGTTACCATGTCGCAGTAGACTGTTGAGTAGCTGCACTCTTAGTGTAATTATTGTTCAGGTAGAACAAGCCCCTTATGGTGGGAAAATTTTAGGATCGCCTACGAAGCTGTCTTAGATTTTTCCTCAGCAAGAACTTTGTGCTCTTGAAGATGATTCAGAATACAAGGATCCAGGAAGTTGCTAGACCTTTTGCAACATGTTTGCTGATTTGACATTGGCTACTATTACATACACTTCCTTATGTTAACTATTTTAAAAAAAAAGCTTTTGTTTAAAAATATTTTTAAATATCTAGGCTAAGATGTTAGTTTCAAAATATTTGACCTATCATTTCTCCTGTGTATTCCTCCAAAATCACGAGAGTGTATTAAACAGTTTATTTTCTTCACAGCTTCCTTTTGAAAGTAGTTCACTGAAGCACGATTGAGGCAATAAGTAGAAATAATTTGTGTTTTTACTTGAATGGATTTCTACTGTTGCCAGAACATCAGAAATAATGTACATTTTGGCTTAAAGTAATAAAACCAAGATATGTGGATCTGTTCTCTTGTGAATCAAGTGATACTGTGAAGGATTCTACTACAATATCATCAATAATGATGAGAATTGAAATAACACATACATATGAATAAAAACAATACTGTGGAAGGTGGAAATCTAAAATATTATATTTTTTATTTATTGGCAGCTATCCATGGTCAAAATTGTGATCACTGTTACTTAAAGCATTGTGCAAAAATGATAATGTTATCACAACTATTGCTTCATGTCATTATAATCCATGTTTGGGAGATTTTATAAATAAAAGTTTAATAAAGATCTAGATTTTCCTATTCATATTTGGAGAACCACATTGTAAAATTACATATGCCATCTTTCAAAATGTAATTGTAAATTCAGTTTTGTTAATATTATTTAAGCATACAATGATCAGCTTAATAATTGGTAGGCTAGGTATAAGTAATAAGCTCAGGAGCTTACTGAAAGTAAACAGAAGAATGATACAAGAACTGCATAACCCATGAACCTAGGGTAAATGATTTGTGTAGTTCTGATGTCATGAGATGGCTATTTTCTTGTAAACCACTGGTCATGACTCATTAATTTATTTCAAATAAAAGTACTAATGTTGTTGAGATATGCCAGCTGGAAAATCAAGGGAAAGTTGACCACATTGTATGTTCAAGACACTTGGTATAGCACTAAATTGTAATCTGTCCATTAGATTTATATTTTGCCATGTTAAGATCAAAATATTTTCAAATTCTATTGAAACATTTTTAACCATAACTAATTATACAAATTCTTTAAAATCCACAGTCTTTCAGAATCTATCATACTATTGACAGCTAATTTATTTTCTTGAGATATTAATACTGACCTTTTGTGTAGTATATTAGTTGCAGGTTGTTTTTAATGTTCAGAATGCAAACTGGCAAAAGCAGAGTGCAAAGTTCACTGTTCCACAACGGCAAGTGCAATAACAATAATGTATAATCATAGAAGCTTACAACATAAGACCATTTTGTGCCTGTGCCAACTCTTTGAAAGCGTTTAGACCTGCACTTCAAACCTTTCCCTAACTCTGAAAATTAGTTTGTAAAATACTTGACCAATTTCTGTTTGAAAGTATCTTTTGGATTCTGATTTCATCACTCTCTCTTTCAAGTCACATGTTCCAGACTTTAACAACCCCTTTGTGTGGAGAGTAAGAAATACATCTTGATATATTATTTAGTTGTTTTGCCAATTTAAACCTATGACCTCTTTTCAACCCCTTTGCTAGAGCAAACAATTTCTCCTTACTTGCTCAATAAAACACCTAATGATTTTGAATACATTTGTTGGGTAACCCATAACCCTAAGGACAATAATTTTAGTACCTCCAATTTTCCCATATATTTGAAGTTCATTTTCTCTGGTAAATCCCTTTTCTACCTTTTTCAAAACATTGACATCCTTTCTAAAATGTGGTCCCCAAAATTGTATACAATACACCAGCTGAGGTTTAACCAGTGACTCATAAAGGTTTAAATAATCTCCTTTATTTTCTTGCCAATATTTCTATTTACAAAGCCACAAATCCCATATATTTTCTTAATTTTCTTATCAAAATGACCTATCACACATTCAAGGATTTGTACATATGCATCTGTAGATCCCTCAGAATAGTAACATTTCGATTTTACTGCCTGTCCATGTTTCGCCAGTAGAGTATCTGTATCCTTCTGAACTTTGCCACTATCTTACTCGTTATTTACTACATTACTTAAGTTTCATATAATCAATAAACTTTAACATTGAACTTCTTGTACCCAAGTCCAAGTAACTTGTATGAAACAAGAAAATCAGTGGCCATAACATCTATATGACATGATTGTCCAATCTGGAAAATGTCCAATTTACCACTACTTTGTTTTTTTTTTAATCCCAAAATCAATTATGTACTCAAACTACTGTTGGCCCTTTTAATCACGTGTGTTCCTTTTTTCAAAATAAGTCTTTTTTTTAATTTTACCAAATGCCTTGCAAATGTACAACATCTCCTCTACTTGCGTTAATTCTCTCTGGTACTTTATCAAGCAGTTCTTCAGATGCTGATTGTCCCTTATTAATCTGTTCTTCTTTGAGTGTGAATTAAATTTGTACTTGACTGTGATTGCTAGTGATTTTCCCACCACTGAAGTTAGATTGACCTGTGTTTGTAAAAGGATAATTTAGAAAACAATGAATTAACAACACAAGTAGTCCATTTTGTCTTCTGGCCTGCTTTGCCCTTCAGACATATCAACTATTATTTTAGTGTTTTGCATTTTGCATTCCACATTCCAATCTACTACTGATAACCCCCTTGCAAAGCTATCTACTTCTGTCTTTTTTTAAAAAAGGAACTCTCCTTTTTACAATAGTTTAGTGTTTTCAATCCTCCTGGCTTCTGACTTGATCTGCACTGGATGATTTAGTAATCTTGATTTATACAAACCTATTCAGCACCTTTTATTCCATCTGTTTTTGTTCTAGCCAATGTCTCACCCTGTCGTCTTAGATTGTGGCACTAACTTCATCCTAACTTCAAATAGATGGAAAGTTACATCAGATCGTTTAAGTGGATTTCCTTTTTGTCCTTAATCACCCAACCATTCCTTTTAGGCTTTATTCTATTGTACAATTTCTGTTCAAGCATCTGTAACTTAGAATTTGTTGTCTAACTTTTCAACTGTGTTAATTTTAACAGGAATTGTTGTATTTGGAATAAACAGACCACAGTCCAAAAATGCAATCAGCAAAAATCTTGTGGAAATGGTAAGCAGAATCATGCACATAAATCTATAACTTATTGTTGATTCTAGTAGAGGAACAATTATCTGTTTATGCCATTTTCTAATAAATTTATATAATGCCAATGAATTGAAAGGACACCTAATGTTATTTCTGTATCTAAAAAGAGAGGATACGTCTGAGGAGCTATACACCAATAAGCTTGGTAGTAAGAAAGATGATGGCGTCTCCACTCCAAGATGTCATAGAAATAAATCTGGAAACGAAAATATTGGGCTGAATCTTACATTTTTTAGGCTGAATTTTGTCAAGGGTTTCTCTTCGCGTGGTGTAATGAAATTTCTAGCTACATCTTCTCAAATTTGCCTCATTAACTACTACTGAAGCATCCCATACACCAGGACCTCCAGGCCCCTGTTGGAGAATTGTGGCACCAATTTCCTCCTCTGGGACATATTTGGAAAGGAAAAACAAAACTTTGAGGGCACATTAATGGCATGGGTGATGTTGCACTAGATATATAGTTTCACTTTTCCTAACTGTTAATCTGTTTGCTTGAGTATCTGTGTAACCCTGAAAGTCTGTGGTACCATGATGCCCAAAATAATGTCCATACAGAATGTACTATAGTTCACTGAGTTGAGAGCCTGTTGCTGCATGTGGAAGCAAGATGACTAAGGCACATGTAGAGCACTGGATTCTGCAGGCACCATTGCTCCTCTTGGTCAATGAATCCTAACCTTTCCCGTCACTCTGCAAAAATGTTGGTGTTGAATGAAGTGGTTAGCAATATCTGGGTGTGGCGAGTGTACAATACATAGGGAGCCAATGCACTGTGTTGCCTGTTTCCTGTGTAGCACGTGGGTCTGTGTGTTGTCTTCTTATCCACAAAAGAGCCTTAATTTAATGGGTCCTGCATGCCATCCCTTTCAAATCAAAACACTCGAACATTTTCTTTCCCATTGCATTGTTTTGAGTTCCAGCGTGATAGAAGGTGATGGGGGAGCTCACTTCGGGCAGTATTTGCAGCCTCTGTTTCCTATGTGTTAGTAAGGCCCTGAACATCAGATCCCCTCCCTGATGGCCCTTCCCATAAACTTTGCATCTCCCCAGGTCTCCACCCAACTCATCTATATGAGCCTGCATCTGCCTACTTTTTCCTCCAGCCCTGGCATATCAGGCAACTGTGTCAGGTGTGGTCATAATTTGCCTCCACCCTTGAAGCCAGGGTGCTCCTTCCCTTCAATTTTCAAAAGGTCTTTGAGGTAATAGTTTATATAGTAGATTCTTTACTATGATTAGAGCATGTAGAGCCAGGGGACAAGTGGTACAAAGAATAGAAAGCTGGCCACAAAAAAGAAGGCTGAGAGTTGAGTTAGTCATTGACTGGTGGAGATGGGAAATGAAGTTCCACAAACCTGTACTGCAAATACTCCCACCATTTACATGAAGAATTTGAACTTATAAATCGGGAGAATAATTTAAAGATTTGTGACGTCTGTGATATGTTGTAAATAATCCCAAGGAGGAAAGTGTAAGATGAATTGATAATCTCATAAAACAGGCTTGTGAATGAGAAATTAATACATCTGTTATGGTAAATATAAGGAGATGAATTTTGGTAGGAAGTATAAGGAGGCCACATGTGCCTTGGAAAATGAAAGTCTATATGGGATGGAAGAGCATAGGGGTACATGTGCAGAAATGCTCATTCATTATAAGTAGCGACAATAACTGAAAAGCAGAGAACTTAAATCAAACTGTACATTTGGAGTGCTGTGTGCAGTTCTGTTATTCATATTACAAAAAATAGATTGAATTACTAGCCAAGATGCAAATGAGAATTGAAAGCATGGTTCTAGAACTGAGAGATTTTCTTTTGTAGGAAAAAGAAAGGTTTAGCGGTGATACAGCTAGATGTAGAGAAGGTGTGGCTATTTGTGGCCATATCTGAAACTGGAAGCAATTAATTATCAAATTGTCACCTAATAAATTGACTGGGCTGCAGTCATGATATTTTTCACTTAGTGCAAGTTATGTTGAGTATTCTAGAGAGCTTTTTGCTGCAAAGCCTAGCAGGTTTTCTTGCTGTATCTTCCCAAACTCACTTTGTTAGCTATCTGCCCCTCTTCTATGCCATCCTCGTGTATGATTCCACTCCCTATTTTGTTCGTGGAACAATTGACTACTGCTGGAATTAACAGTCTTCCCTTGCATCCATGCCACCTTTGAAAGCCTGTTGTGCTCACAGACAAATTCTGTCAGTTCGGAGCTGCACATTTGGCTTGGATATGCCAGACAAGGGAAATTGGCTCCTTGCTTTGCGGGCAAGAAACTGCAGGTCCTGATAGATAGGGTAGTGTAGATGTGGGACTTCCTCTTCCCCCAGGGCCAGCAGTGAGGTCCATGACACCAGGCCTGCCAGCCTGTTTGAGGTTACCACCGAAGTTAGAGAAGTCTCAACTATCAGGATGAATGCCCATCATTATAGGAAGGGCCAAGATTATTTTTTTGCTCTGCCAGAGTAATTTCTACCAACTACACTCCGATACGTCGTACTCACATTTTCTCTGCTTTTATGCCTGCAACGTCTCACCCACTCACTTTCTCCACCTTGAGCCCTAGCAATGGTAATCTTGTGTGCCTTGTACACTGTCCACTAGCTTGCTCGGGACACCACCTCACTTGCACCAAAAGTAACATTCTAGAAGGAGAACACCTGTCAATATAGCAGAAAGAGCCACGATATGTGGTAGATTCCCCAATATTCCGCTTCTCATCCTTTATATGGACATCATCCTAACTCTGACCACCTGAAATGACTGACTTAGTTTATCCAAGCCCTTGGACTGGTATTGGAGACTAAACTTGACTCACTGTACCAGGACCTCCTGAGGGAAGTCTATCCCTCTTGATTTGACAGACAACTGCTGACAATCATGATGAGCTTCCTGCCTTTTTGCACTTCGCTCCCTCATCCAGAGCTACCTGGCTCTTTTCATTTCCATTTTTCCTTGCTGTTTAGTGCAGACACAAAAGGCAATGTGAGGCAGGGATGCCTGAGCATCCAGATAGGCTCCGAATTAGTGAGCATTATGACAGGAAGTGAAGAGCTCTGAGATGCAGCCTAGTCCACTCTGTGAGCTAGGTCCATGTCCCTTGCTGCAACAGTATAGTGACAGTTGCTGGTGCAGACTGAGGTGCAGCCTTGAAGCGTTGAAGTGACCTGTTAGTGGATCAGATGTGCCATAAGAGTCCTTGGATGCTGACACGTACCAGATGCCAATATCTGTTAATATTGAATGCATGTAGTTGGTGCCCATGGAGCATCCATGAGCTGATGTGCCGATTTCTGTTTTGCTTTCAGATCTCCAGCATCTGCAGTTCTTTGTTTTATTTCTTGATGTCTATTTTGTATTTGGTAAGATGGGAAACTGAATATTAATCAGTTAATTTGGATTGTTTAGCAAGCAGTAATCCCCTTTAATTGGGAACATGCCAATGTCGAGTGAGAAATTTGACTTGCTCCTTGTCATGAGCACAAAAAATGGAGCAAGGTGCTTCTAACGTTTAGAATTCGCCACATGATTTTGCTACAAATATCGCCGTAGCCCTTGTCACTGAGACCTGCATTAACTTGAACCCAGTGGAAAATTCAGGAGAAACCTTCGTATGTGTGGGATAGTAAGAATGGCTGATGCTGGAGTCTGAGATAACGCAGTATGGAGCTGGAGGAATACAGCAGACCAGGCAGCATCAGAGGAGCAGGAAGGCTGACGTATCGGGCCGGGACCCTTCTTCAGAAATGGGGGAGGGGAAGGGGACTCTGAAATAAATAGAGTGGGGGTTTGTGCTGGGAAGGGTAGGTGGGATGGTGATAGCAGGTAGGTAGTGGTAGGGATTGGTCAGTGAGGTGGGGGGAGCAAATAGGTGTGAGAGAAGACGGACAGGTCAAGGAGGCGGGATGAGAGGGAGGGTTGGTCTTGGGATGAGGCCGGGAGTGGGGAGATTTTGAAGCTAGTAAAGTCCACATTGAGATCATTGGGTTGTAGGCTTCCAAGGTGGAATATGAGGTGCTGCTCCTCCAGTTTCCGGGTGGCGTCGTTGTGACGCAGGAGGAGGCCCAGGATGGACATATCGTCCAGGGAGTGGGAGAGGCAGTTGAAGTGGTTCGTGACTGGGAGGTGTTGTTTGTCATGAACTGAGCATAGGCGCTCTACAAAGCGGTCTCCGAGCCTTCACTTGGTCTCACCAATGTAGAGGAGGCCACATCGGGAACAGCAGATACAATAGACCACATTAGCAGATGTGCAGGTGAACATCTGTCTGATGTGGAAGGTTTTTTTTTGTGGCCTGGGATAGAGGTGAGGGGGGAGGTGTAGGGGCAGGTGTAGCACTTCCTGCGGTTGCAGGAAAAGGTGCCAGCGGTGGTGGGACTAGTGGGGAGTGTGGAGCGGATGAGGGAGTCGCGGAGAGAGTGGTTCCTCCGGAAGGCAGATAAGGGTAGGGAGGGAAATATACCCTTCGTAGTGGGAACAGATTGCAGGTGGCGGAAGTGGCGGAGAATGATGTGTTGAATCCGGAGGTTAATGGGGTGATACGTGAGGACAAGGGAAATTCTGTCTTTGTTTTTATTGTGGGGAGGGGGTGTGAGGGCTCGGGTGCGGGAAACGCAAGAGATGCGGTCAAGGGCGTTTTCGACCACCAAAGGGGGGATGTTGCGGTCCTTGAAATATGAGGACATCTGGGATGTTTGGGAGTGGAATGCCTTAACTTGGGAGCAGACACGGCGGAGGCGGAGGAATTGGGAGTAGGGGATTGCATTCTTGCAGGAAGGTGGGTGAGAGGAGGTGTAGTCTGGGTAGCTGTGGGAGTCGGTGGGCTTGAAATAGATGTCAGTTTCGAGGTGGTCACCAGAGATGGAGACAGAGAGGTCAAGAAAGGAGAGAGAGGTATCAGAGATGGTCCAGGTTGGGGTGGAAGGTGTTAGTAAAGTTGGTGAACTGTTCGAGCTCCTTGTGGGAGCATGATGCAGCACCAATACAGTCATTGATGTAGCAGAGGAAGAGGTGGAGGATAGTGCCACTGTAGCTGCGGAAGAGGGACTGTTCCATGTATCCTAAGAGGCAGGCATTGCTTGGGCCCATGCGGGTTCCCATGGCCACCCCCTCGGTCTGTAGGAAGTGGGAAGAGTTGAAGGAGAAGTTGTTAAGGGTAAGGACGAGTTCAGTTAAGTGGAAAAGGTTGTTAGTGGAGGGGGACTGGTTGGGCCTGTGGGAGAGGAAGAAGTGGAGGGCTTTTAGGCCATCTGCATGGGGAATGCAAGTATACGGGGGTTGGACTTTTCCTTCAACTCCTCCCACTTCCTACAGACTAAAGGGGTGGCCATGGGAACCTGCATGGGCCCAAGCACCTATTCGCTCCTCCCACTTCACCGACCAATCCCCACCACTACCTACCTGCTATCACCATCCCACCTACCTTTCCCAGCCCAATCCCCCCCATTTATTTCAGAGCCCCCTTCCTCTCCCCATTTCTGAAGAAGGGTCCCGCCCTGAAACCTCAGCTTCCTGCTCCTCTGATGCTGCCTGGCCTGCTGTGTTCCTCCAGCTGCACGCTACTTTTTACATCAGGAATGTGGAACTTGCTGCCTCATGCAGAACACAAAGGAGAAAGGAGTGGTAGGATCTTCAGGAAGAGTGGCAACGTATTTGCATGTAAACACCTGAACAGGCAGGCTGACTAACCTATTTCTAAGCTATAAAAATTCTACTTTTGATTTTGTGATTAGGATTTTTTTGACTTGGATTTTAACATTTTCTTTTGTTTAGATGTCGAAAGCTATAAAAGAAATTAAATGTGATAAAAATGTTCGAACGGTTATACTGCGCAGTGAGGTACCAGGAATATTTTGTGCAGGTTGGTGATTGGTTTTGATTTTCATTTATGTTTAAACATGATATTTTCAGAGTAGAACTCATGTTTGTTCTGACCTATAAGTAATTCAAATTTAGTCTTTTTGAGAGGGAGAAAAATTAAACCTAATTGTCTAGTTGAAATAGCCATGCAGTTTTATTCAGTAGTATTCAGAAGTGCTATCTCTATGAGTCAGCATGAACATTATTTCTATCTTGGAATATTTAATTTGTTTTTTAAGTATAGTTTTAAGAGTAAGATTGTTTATTATATCACTTCTGTTGGGAACACTTTGTTCTTGTGATTTTTTTTTTAAGGTGTTGAAAATCTGAGCGAAACCAAACTATGAAGTTATTGAGTAAAATTCAAAAATTTCATCAAAGTTATTTTAAGTATGCTAGACAAGGAACAGGATCGTGAAGGCAGGACTTGGGAGTCTGGAATTTTCCCGTTGTCAAGATTCATCCTGGCAATGCCGGCAGACAGATTGCTTATTTCATAGATCATAGATCATCCTAGATTGTAGAATCCCTACAGTGTGGAAACAGGCCCTTTGGCCCAGCAAGTCCACACCAACCCTCGGAGCATCCCACCCAGACCCATTCCACTATAACTCCCCTAATCTACACATCCCTGAACGCTATGGGCAATTTAGCATGGCCAATCCACCTAGCCTGTCCGTCTTTGGACTGTGGGAGGAAACCGGAGCACCCAGACGAAACCCACGCAGATATGGCGCATCCCTGCAGGACAGTTCATCCTGGTGTCAGGTCTGAGGATGAGGCAGAGGCAAAGGCAAACTAATGACTGGCCAGTATCTCTATTAAAATCATAGAGCCATACAGCATGGAAACGGACCCTTTGGTCGAACCGGTCAACGTTGACCATGTTCTTAACCTAAACTAATCCTACCTGCTTGCGTTTGGCCCTTATCCCTCCAAATCTTTCCTATTCATGTCCTTATCCAAATGTCTTTTAAACATTGTAACTATACCTGCATTCACCACTTCTTTGGCAGTTCATTCCACATACAAACCACTCTGTGTAAAAACATTGCCCCTCATGTCCTTTTTAAACCTTTCTCCACTCAACTTAAAAAGATGCCCCCTAGTTTTGAACTTCTACCCTGGGGGAAAGGATCATTGCTAATCACCTATATGTTCCCCACATGATATTATAAACCTCTGTAAGGATACCCCTCAACTTTCTACGTGGAAAATATCCCAGCCTATCCAACCTATTTTTATAACTCAAATCGTCCATTTCAAGCAACATCCTGGTAAATCTTTTCGGTTTATCTCTCCAGTTAATATCTTTCCTATAACAGGGCGACCAGAACTGCAAACTCTACTCCAGAAAAGGCCTCACCAGTGTCCTATACAACCTCAACATGGTGTCCCAACTACTATACTTGGGTCTGAGCAATGAAGGCAAACATGCTAAATATCATCTTAACCACCCTGTCCATCTGTGATGCAAATTTCAAAGAATTATGTATCTGAATCCATGTTCTACAACACTGGCAAGTGCTCTGTCGTTTATTGTATAAGTCATGCCCTTGCATGTTTTACCAGAATGTAATACCTCACATTTATCCAAATTAAACTCAATCTGCCACTTCTCACCCCACTGACTCAATTCTTTAAGATTTTTATAATCTTAGATAACCTTCTTCACTGTTGACTATACCACCAGTTTTGGTGTCATCTGCAAGCTCACTAACCATGCCTCCTATATTCTCATCCTTTATCATTTATATAAAATGACAAACAAAAGTGGACCTAGTACCGATCCCTGTGGAACGCTGCTGGTCACAGGTCTGTAGTCTGGAAAAACGACACTCCATCACCATCCTCTGTCTTCAACCATAAAGCCAATTTTGTATCCAATTGGCAAGTGCACCCTGAATGCCATGTGATCTAATTTTACTAATTAGTTTACTATGTAGAACCTTGTCAAAGACTTTTCTAAAGTCCAAGTAAACAATGTCTGTCACTCTGCCCTAATGAATTGAATCAAAGCACAAGTCAGGAGTGTGATGGAGTACTCCCCAAAAGCGTGGATTGGCGCAGCTCCAAGAACACTCCAGGAGCTTGACACCATCCAGGACAAAGCAGCTGGCTTCTTTGGCACCACATTCACAAGCAGCCAGTCCCTACTCCACCAATGCTCAGTAGCAGCAGTGTGTACTTTCATAAAATGCATTGCATAAATTCACTAAAGATCCTCAGATCTTTAAGATCCAAAGATCCAAATCCACCATCACTTCCATCTGGAAGGACAACAGTAGCAGATATATGGGGACACCACCACCTGCAAGTTACCCTCCAAGCCACTCCCTGTCCTGACTTGTAAATATATCACCTTTCCTTCACTGTTGCTGGTTCAACTTTGTGGAATTCCCTCGCTAAGGACATTGTGAGTCAACCCATAGCTGGTGGATTGCAGTGGTTTAAGAATGTAGCTCACCACTACCTTGTCGAGGGCAACTAAGATGGACAGTAAATGCTTTGCAGCTAGTGAAGCCCTTATCCCACAAACTAATAATAAAAATAAACTATGATAGTATGAGATGGGAGTTGGCTATCTTGGATTGGGAAATGTGACTGAAAGGAATGACAATGGATAGGCAGTAGCAAATATTCAAAGATGAATCGGTAAACTACAAAAATGGTTTATTCTTGTCTGGCTCAGAAGTGAACGGGAAACGAAGGCCAAACCATTGGCTGATGAGAGAAGTAAGAGGTAGTATTAGTTGCAAAATAAAAGAGGAATACAAATTGGCAAGAATGAAAACAATAGATCTGAAAATAGAGAATGCGAATAAGCCTGTGGGGAACATAAGAAATGATTGTAAAATTTTACGAAGTATGTAAAGAGAAAAAAGATTGGTGAAAACAAATGTGGGTTCTTTACTGTCGGAAATGGGGTCATTTATAATGGGGAACAAAGAAATGGCTGACAAACTAAATTCATACTTCACTTCTGCCTTCACAACGGAGGACACAAATAATGGACCAGAAATGATGGAGAACACCAGGTTTAATGAGAGGGAGGAACTGAAGCACATCTGTGTTAGTAGATAAATGGTTGTAGAAATTGATGGGATTGAAGACTGATAAATTCCCAGAGTTTGATAATCTACATCCCAGAGTGACCAAGGCTGTAACTGAGTTTCTTTAGACTCTAGCTACTGTTCAATCTGTAGGAAATGTTCCAATGTAATCCCACTGTTTAAAAGGAGAGGTACAGAGAAAACAGGGAATTGTAGGCCAGTGAGGCTGATGTAAGTAGTGGGAAAGGTACTAGGGTCCGTTATCAAGTATTTTTTAGTATAGCACTATTTCCTGTCTCTCTCGCGCACACACACACGGGTGTACATGCACACTGACATGCAGTAAATAGTCCTTCTCTCTGACATAAGACCTAAGTCGTCTATCCAGGCTCCAGTTGATTTTTTTTCAGATCAATTAATTTGTTAATTTCTTAATGCACATCAGGTCCCATTATGGAGTGGTTGAGCACTTCTGGGTCTGTACTCAGTAGGGTTTAGAAGGATGATGGAGAATCTCATTGAAACTTGCAGAATACTGAGAGGCCTGGACAGAGTGGGCATGGAGAATGTGTTTCCGATAGTAGTGGAGACTAGGACCTGAGGACATGGCCTCAAAGTGAAGGGCTGACCCTTTAGAACTGAGATGAGGACGAATTTCTTCAGCCAGAGAGTGGTTAATCTGTGGAACTCGTTGATTTGATTTGGTTTATTATTGTCACGTGTGAAAAACCACATTGCACCAGAAGGTTGTGGAGGCCAAGTCATTGAGTGAATTTAAGACAGCGATAGATTCTTGATTAGTAACAGGGTTAAGGGTTATGGGGAGAAAGCAGGAGAATGGGGTTGAGAAACATAGCAGCAATGATTGCATGGTGCAGCAGACTCAGTGGGCCAAATGGTCTAATTCTGCTCCTCTATCTTATGGTCTGCAGTCTTGTGGAGCAAGGCATAGGAACTTCCAAGTTAGTTTGTCCTCTGTGCAAAATGTTTTTAAATAGTCTTGAGAAGGAGGAAAATATTTCTGAGGAGCAGACCACCAGTTGTGGGTTTGGAGTGAGTAGAAAGGTTTAGTTGGTGAAGAGTGGTGAAAGGGGAAAAAAAGATCAACGATTCATATGCATTGAACTTTAATTCATGATGTTGGCACTGGGTTGGAATCTCCTCACTGATTTGGACATTGTTATCTTCAGTAATTCAAAATTTCACAGCACATTTGGACAATTTTTATAGCACACTGATACAGCATAACGGTTGAAGTCCGCTGGTTTAATCAGTCATATAAAAGGCAGTGCTCTGAATACTACTGTCTTTGACTGCTACAGCACTCGAGTGTCCACAGATTGAGAATTGAGGTGATAAATGTTTGATGCTCGATGCTGACACAGAAGTAAACTAACTTTTAATGTAAGTGTGTATGAGTGCCTATTTTCTTTTGGTGTTTTATGACCTAACTTAGTGCAAGTACTTATCTACTGTTTATGAAATTTAAGGTAAGATAGCTGTCTATTGCAGTGGTTTCCAACCTTTTCAGTAACGCAGCGTACTTCAATGAGGCAAACAATTCCATGGCATGCCCACTTTTTCAGCTGAATTGATTATTTATATTTGTCACATTTACTTGCATTTACTATTGTTACAATGTTACTAGATAAGTTTACAACATAGTGCATACAAGTGCATTCAAAGCATTAACATTTCAAATTCACTGCAAAAAATACATTGTCTTCGACTGCAACCAGACACGTTGGCCCTCTTGTGGTGCAGTGGTATTGTCCAGGGTTCAACTCCCACCTGTTTCCGAAATGTGTAGTAACATCTTTGAAAAGGTTGAGTAGATTTTGGCATTTTTTTTTCTACTCGGCTCAAATACTTCTAACTGTTCATGGCCTTCGATCTGTTCCATATACTGCACTCTGTTCAGAAGTCTGAATTTCACAGATAATATTTC